AAATGTTAACATGAATTTCAGAATTGCTTAGTAATAAGCTCCGCTTTTGCTTTAATGAGAGCGTTCAATCGAGCTCACAAGTTTGTCCAGAAGCCTCTGAAGAGTAGATCAAATCATCCCGAGAGTCGTCTGAACACATACTTCAATAAAAGAGACCTTCAGTGGAAGAGAATCTGATATTTTTGTACAAAGCCTTGACAATAATCAATGTCACAAATTTGCTTACGTTTGAATAGTGCTCTATGAATAGTGCAGGATCTTGAATATTTCTCCTTCATTTTACTCATCATAACTTTCCTGGTTTAAATTTTTTTTCATTATTTATTTTAAATATCAAATTCTGAAACTTTCTGTTGTTTATTTCCAGGTTTAAAAAATAAATAAATAAATAAATAAACTAGATTTTCAATGTGGGAGACTTTTGGACTCCACTGTATATGAGTATTTCTCGTTCATATAAGGTTGCCAAATAACCTACAACTCTAAATCAGTCTCTCCAATCAAAATATTTTTAATCACCAAGTAAATTTCAGTGTACAGCTGAAGGGGAACTCCACCGATATTTCAAAATTTCTGCTTGTAAACAAAGTTATTCATAGTGGTTTGATGTGAAATTGTGCATTGTAGAGAACCAGGGTGTTGTGATGTTGACACAAATATAGCCATTTTATTTACTATCCAAAATGACCAGTTTTATGTGCAATGTTGCAAATGCTAAAAACATGTTTTTTGGGGGGATATTTTTTGCCTTAAACACCATGCATGTACCCCTCCACTTTGAATGGATATTAAAAAAACATGTTATCAAACAATGTAACAATCCATTCATAACCTTTTCCTATACGTTTCCTATAACAGCTTTCTGTGAGTTAGACATCTGGTTCCTATCACCATCATTGTGAATAATTTCTTTAGCATAGCATGTTGTGCGTCAAACCACTCTGAATGACTTTGCTTACATCTCTGTGATTTAATTATAAAGGATTGTTGAAAAATCAGTGGATTTCTCCTGTGAAGATGCGAGCGATTGACATATTAATTATAATGATATTACTTGCATTATTAGCTTCAACCTAAAGCCTTTTTTTGGAGTTGAATAGTAGTGTAGTAGTGATAAAGTTAATGATATCACTCCATTAAATGCCTTTACTTAGTAAGAAATAGAGCAGGACGTAATGTGTCGTTTTTTTGGCCCACTTTAAGGCTTGTAATTCTGTCAGTGGAAGACTGGTGAGCTAGTCATTGCCTGTTCAGGAAAGCCTGTTCGTGGGTCAAAGGTCAGCAGTCAAGGCCAAGGTGAACAATGGCATCCCCAGATAAGAGGTGCGAGAGGCAGACGGCATTGTTCCTGACTCGCTCTTTCTCCTGCCCATAATTCTCCTCAGGTGTCATCAGCTGTCAGCCAAAGGTCAGCCCCATTAAGGGAGAAAAGATGGGCCGCAAATGACCTTCGCCTGCTACGGCATGTATTTCGTCAGCGTGTTTCACATGATCAGTGGTATTTGCATGGACAGCGCTTTCAGGCCACAGTGCCTAGAAGCAGTTCATGAACCCTTCATTGCTACAGCACGTTTCCAATTACAGAGGACGTTATGTGCTCTAAACATCGTCACAGCTTGAATGCACTAGTCGTTTAGAACATGTAATTAGTGAGACTCAGTATAAGTTTTCTATTTTCCTGAATATATTGCACATGTGCATCAGTCAGGCTATCACTGGATACTGAAGATCAAGGCAGATGCAACATGGAAAAATGTTGAAAAAAGTCATCTGTCTGGGCTGAAATATGGGCTCACTGAAAGAAGACATACTTACATTACAGCTTAGAATATGATGTAAGTCGAGATGTTCACTTCAGGCTAGTCCAGTTGTTTTAGAATGAAAGCCTCGCTATTTGAAGCCGTATCGAACCTGTCAGGTCAGCATGTTTGCTAGATAGCATAACAGCTATTCCAGCTAAAGCAGTACAAACTACCGCACACCAGAGAGCAGTGCGGAATCTCATAGGGTCACATAGCAGAGTGCTGCTATGGAATGCTGGCAGGGAGTGTCAATAAAAGCTAGGTTCAAGTTCATTTTTACTCTCTACTTGTATAAATTGAATGAAATACAGCAGTCAGCATTACTTATCATGCCTGGCATCAGTTACTGCCTCTTCATAAACTGGCTGTTTTGGAGCTGAAAGATACAGGCTGAAAAGGCTAAGGTAGTAATGCTAGCTGAGGTAACTTACGATCAGCATTTGTCTGTTTATCTAAAAGATTGTTTGCCTATTTTTGTGTAAATTTCAATTCGCATGTGATGCTACAGATGGAAAAAAGAAGTTTTTTTCCATATAATCATTAGGAGTCCTAATTTATTGCTGCATCCTGTTTGTGTTGGCCTTTAGAGGGCAGTGCCGATCTGTTTGCTTGTTAGCTAAGTAACTATCACTAATGTTGGTAGCATGTAAAAATAGTGATATTTACACACAGAAACATATAAAAATACTTGTAAAAGCATATGAACTCTACTGTATGATTCATGTGCATTTGATACATGTGATCCTGGGTTTCCCGAGTCCTTATTTATTATTTATTTATTATTTTCCCCACGTTAAAACTTCAAGAGATTTTAGCTTCGTATCCAAGTTGCTGACTCAAGTCCCCATCTTTGGATATAATCTTAATATTTAAAATTCATTAGTGCATCAAGCATTGTCATGCTAAATTGTAGCTGGCCATGCTTTAAAGTCCAGTAATAATCCATTTAAAAAAGTTATAGATCCTATATCATTTTTGTGATGTCACAAAGAATAGTGCATTTTACATACATCTGCCTATTTAGCATATAGCATTTAGCCCCACCCATTCACTTTGAATAAGGAGTGCTTAAACACTGACAGCTTTCTGAATGAGGCACAAGACAGGGCAGCCGATCAGAAGAGAAGACAGTTACATATATCAGCCTTAAAGGCACAGCCTGTTTAATTCTAAGTACAGAGAGATTTTGAGAAATGGTCATGTAAAAATGAAGTATCGCTGTTTTTGGTTCATAAACCCACACACACATCATAAGCAGGCCTCAAGGAACAGAAAATCCTTTGGGCACTATATTGCACAATAGATGTTCACTGTGTTGTCGAATGGTGTTTGCATAGCAGAATAACTGAAACGACTTTTTGCTGGACTTGATACGTGTAGCTTTTTTTAACGTCTCTCTGTTTGTTGTTATTGCCTGTTGAAAATACTTATAACACATGAAAACAATTCTTGGCCCCTGTGGCTTTGCTTTGCCAGAGAATCCTCAGGAGATATTTCCTTGGCTGCCTCCAGCATTGGCAGTGCTTTTGCTGACACAATCCCCTAACATATTACAGCCAGATCAGAGACGGGTCTCCCTTGCCCCTCTCCCACAAGGCAGTGGAGTAGAACGTGGACAGGGAGATACCAGCCTGATGCCATCTCCACATGCTGCCAAACTCTCTGGAGTTAGCTGTGGTCTCAGGCCATAGCTCAGTACCCCAAAGCGACGATCTCCCATCCAACCAGAAGCACAGTCTTCATTCTGTCGTGACTGCAGTTCTTTTTTTTTGTCCCTGGGACCAAAGCAATATTGAGCCAGCTTTCGCTGAGAGAGATGACGCGTTTCCCTGTCGCAACATAATCACTAACAAAGTGTCGACATAAAGCAGCCCAATCTGACCTTTGGGAAGGAATTTAATTTGCCTCCCTCCAGCACGTTTGACTCCCATGTAACAGCAATCATGGACGGTGGATGCCGAGGACGCGGCGAGAAGCCGAGCTTTATTGGATTAGAGAGCTCTGGCCTTTCATGAAGTGATAAATAATGGCAAGCAGTGGTGGAGAACAGTGAGACGGTGTGGAATAATAACTGCGTAGGTGGAGAAGTAAGCTGGCAACGTCTCTGTCTCTTTCCCAGCCATACATCACGGGGCTCTTCACTTGCTTTTTAGTTAGTGGACCTCGGCAATATCTTCAGCTAACTTTGACACATGCTATATGTATTACAAAAGTTGACTTATATTTCTCACAAGGCCCCTGTAATATTATTTGATAAGCCCCCAGCTGCCCTGAAGCTAGCTTCCTCGAGCTCAGAAAATGTTAGATTGATTCTTTACTTACAGGCTTTTATAACACACTGCTATAGGGGTGTTGGTGTACAGTGTATGTCCAATGCACAGATCAAATATCTCCATGAATTCCACTCTAAAATGACTGAAAGACTTCTGAAGACGTCACTACAATACAGGCCGGAGGGAGGATACATTTTTACTTTTACAGAAGATAAAGGACAGGAATGTGTTTATTAACTTAGTATAAATGAATTGTCTATTATAATTATTACATAATCGCCCTACAGTTATTTCAGATGTTCACCGTTAAGCTGACCACAGTTGTTAGGAGATGAACTTGGCAGTTGAGTTGAAATTTTAAGTTGGCTGAAAATGAATATATTAAGCCACATCATAGGTCTTATGAAAAGAACACAAGTGCCAACCCAAACTGGGTGCTACCACAGTTAAGGTCACTGCACAGCATCATCGAACATCACATAGCAGGGCTTCTATTCCCCATATCATATGTGGCAGTGATTTGTTTTTCTGCTTTTTATTTGTTTTGTTTTGATGCTCCAGGCACTTTTATTGTAACTCTAACCATATCCAGCTGATTATCACATTCATGTATGTTAAATTTAGATTTTATGAAGATTTGATTAACATAATGTACTTAATGTAAGGGACTTATACCAATTAAGAGTATTAAGCCTTTCCATTATAGAAAGAGTCCATGACTGAAAAGCAGTGAAAAAACGTCTATGGTTGATCTGGATGTCAACTGTGCTGTGTTGGCTGGTGGCGAAATGACTTGTGCTGAATTGTTTTGTAAAATGTCTTTTAAACTTTGTAAAATGTTGTCTCCATACTCGTCTCCATACTGTAGCATGCGTGGTGTTACATCATGTGAATAATCTTCTGCTTCTCTGTGTGTTTTCTGCAGCCTCCCGGGTCCCACACCACGGAGCAATGATCCAGCTGGCCACTCCAGTGGAGCTTCAGGGAGCTCCAGTGAGTCAGAGAGCAGCTCGGAGTCAGACTCCGACAGTGAGAGCAGCTCCAGTGATAGCGAGTGCAACAGAGAGTCACGTACCGCCACACCAGAGGTATACACTCCCTATAAAAGACATCACCAAAAACTGGGCCTCCATTTATTGCATCCAGATCTTTAGAGTGTGATTAATGAATCACTTACACTCACTCACAATTAATGTGATAATAGTTACTAGTACAAAAGTTGAGTACAGCACAACAAAGGCGACCTGTGTAGGAATATACTGGACAGTATTGAGCTACTTACTCAAAAAAGTACTTCATTTCAAATGATTAATTACTTTTTTCAGACTGTAATGAGAATATTTTTTATTACTTCTTGCAAAAAATAATATCATTACTCATTCCTTCTATGATACTCTCTAAAATCCCATACAAATCTGTTCCAGCTATACCCAATAAACCTTTTCAATACTTTATTTAGAAAGAAATAACCATGTATAGTGAGCATAATCTAAAAGACATGATCCTGTCTCTACCTTTGCTCTTTATAGACCACAACTAGTTCTGCTTGATTCAAATTATGAACGGCTAGTCCAGAGGTCGGCAACATGGGGCTCTTTTACTGCCCTGTTGCAGCTCTACAGGCAGAATTAGATTTGTAGGTAAAAATAAAATAATCCTGCTTTACAGTAAAATAAAGCTCTGCTGATCGTTCAACACAGTTTAACAATAAATGGTCTTAAACTCTGGAGTTAATGTAGAACTGCTAATTCACCCTTTAACCCTGAAGGTTGGTGTGCAGACTGCTGGTCACCATATGCTGTGGACAAAATGGCTCTTCTTAACATTTGGGTTGCTGACCCCTTGGCTAGGCACTATCCAGCAGAAACAGTTTACCTCTTAAACGGCCAGGATTTTATTTAAAGTTTTATTACACACTTATATAACCTAAGAATAGTTCAAACAGTTTGGAGGCCTTGTAGTTACTGAATAATAAGCCTTAGTATGTAATAATGTAATATGTAATTTTAAGAGATTTTAAAAGTTGCCTTGAAATGAACTCTTACAGTGCTGTTCCTGACTGAGAATTGAGTAGGGTCTGTTTAGGTGAGGCTGAGGCTCTCTTTTCTTCAGCACAAGGATTTGTATTCATCAGTTTTATATTAGCATGCTTAGATTCTTGCCTAGATTATTTGCCAAGTTTATGGTGCTTCCCACGCTCGCTCTCCACAGCTCATGTTCACAGTCAGAGTCACACAGTCAGCTGACGCAGGAAGCTAACATGCACAATAATTACATACAGACAGAAATAATCTATTTAGAGGAAATTTATGTATTAAATGTATTGCATATAATTTAGATTGTTCTCTTATGTACATAACGCTGTTGTCTGTAGAAAACCTTATATCTTTTCCTGTAAATGGTTACAGGAAAAGGAAAAAAACTACTTTATTTTTAATGTAAGTCAATGGAACCAGACTATTTTCCAAGTCATTTTGCGCCGTTTCTTTTGGTCCATTCTTCATGAAATTTACACACAATATAAAGGCCAACAGGGATTTTCAAGTTAAGTCAAAAACTAAAAAAAACGACAAAAATGGAGGTTTTCTTCCGACAGCAGCGATATGTCTAATGCAAGTAGCAGAAGTCCTCTGTCAGTAACTGTGATGCGATTACAGGGGTTAAAATGTGTAACACTTCTTCTTTACAGGAAAAAGTAATCACATGACTGTTATTTGTATGGCATTGCCCCCAAATATTGTATATGAAGTGCTGAAAAATGTATCATTAAGCAATACTTGAGAATATATAAACAGGTTATGCCAGATGACATAGGATGCTTTTAGGTAAATGACATTGTATTGATATGAGGCTTTCAAACTAAAGTTTAGATTTATTCCATTTATGTTCCATTTATTTATTTGTACCAGATATGACCCTGTTATGAAGCATCACTCCAGAGAGAGTGCAGGGCTTCTATTTTTACTCAAATAATCCTTTACCAGGAATATTTTTATTTTCACTCAACTACAGATGTTTTGTACTTTTTAGGACTGGAGTATACCAGAAAACTTTCCCTGAAGCTTCTTAATGGTGTTCTTAACTAGACATCTGCGAGACATCTGCCAAATTAATTGTAATTTATAATAATAAGACTTTATAACTGTGTTCTAAATGGAACCAGTGTATGTCACTTGGTTTAAAGCTTCTTATGTCAGTTATTGCAAACAACTACTTGTCATTTTGCTACTGTTGACATAAGCTGTTCATAAATACACAAGTATTGTTTTTACAATACATTATTCACTGCTTATGTGTCTCATGTGTCATGAAATCCTTTTGAAGGCAGCCTTCAAATATAGTGTTATGATACAACTGTGGTCCTCTAGTGATATTCTCACTAAACGCATCTCATTTATTCGGAAGCATTGCTTGGTTTCAAGGCACTTTTGTGACACATTTAATTGGGTGTTAGTCAGTAATTTAGAATAAGTGTTTTTAAATATTTTTTTGACCAAGAAGTGCAGCAGAAATTTTATGCAGTGCAATGAAGGTGAAGAGTTTGTCTTCAAGCAAATGGAAAAGACTGAAAGCAGAATCTACAGTTTTCCCAGCATGGGAGAAAGGCCGGATGTCTGAAAAGCTCTCCTAAAAGCTTAATTGGCAGCTTTAAAGTTTCCCCACAGTGGCCTGCCCTCGGCTCCCTGAGTGCATTCACCAAAAGTAAACACCCTCATTCTCAGCGCCCCTTCAGTGTGTATGGCTGTTTGCACTCCACCAGGGATAGCCAATGGGAATCTATATCTGCTGACAAATGCTCTGCACGGTGAAGAGATGTTTCGTTTTCTTTTCAAGGCTGTAGTGCACAACCCTGACATTTTAGCAGGAAAGCTCCAGGAGGCCCGTATAATTTGGACATGCACAATTGTTAATTCATCATCTCTGCTTGTACTCTTCACTTCCAGTTTTGCAGTTTGTATTGGCATAAATCTACTTCTGATAGATGAGATGGAAAGTGCGGCTTTTAAAAGTGAAATAGTGTGGAAGATTAGCCCCTTTTTTCTGGGATGGTAGGCCCAGATCAGATAGAGAGTGTGTTCAACATCTTTCAACCTCTGTGGTTTTAATGGTTAATTTGGACGGTTGCTCATTTCCGTGCCTTCCTTTTCCAAATGATTTGCTGTCATTTAGGAGATCATTCAAGACAGCCTTTATGGTTTCATATGAAAGATTTATAAATGTCTCAGGGCATAATGGTACAAAACAAACGATGTGAGATAATATGGCTGATGAAAACATCTTCCTTCACAGTCAGAGTTGAGAGCACCGTCAGGACAACGCACCGTCGAGCTTCTCCGCCATTCGGTGGTTTTATTACTTCCTCTTTTAATAGCCTCTTTATCTTCAGACCAACTCATTGGTCTGTGAAAGTCATATGATTTTATCATCACTCTTCTAACAAGTCAACACCAGAGATCCACATGTGGATATGGACAATTGGAAGTTTGGGTTACATATTTTTTCAGGAAATGATACATTTTCATTCAATACTGTGTGCGTCCATATGCTGAGCTTTCAAAGGATGTTATATTACCTGGGGAGCCTGCCAAATGAAACGTGTGAAGTGAGGACATGTGCCAAGTGATGATAGATACCTTTTCGGTTAGTGTGTGGACAAATTTGTGATGCAGTAGCAAGTTTAAAACCAGTGAATCATGGTGTGGCATTTATAGCTATAATCAAAAGAGATTGGGCCACTTTTTTGTGTTTCTTTCCATAGCCTGAACCTCCATCAACGAACAAGTGGCAGTTGGATAAGTGGCTGAACAAAGTAACCCCCCACAATAAAGCCCTTCCCAGCACGCAGCCAGAGAACCATGGACTCAGCAGCTCTCAACCTGAGGATAGCCAAGCTTCAGAGAACCAGAGTTGCAGTAAGAGCAAGCCCAGCGCGACTTTGGCACAAGCAGAGCCCAAGGACCGGGGCTTGCTCAGTCCCGTCCGAGAAAAGGCCAAGCCTAAGACGGGCCAGAAGGCTCCGGATGGTAAGGGCGCCAAAGTGAAGGCCCCTGTTACAGTGGACCTTGGCCCTTCTAGGAGAAGCACAGGCAAGAAGCAGCCCAAGAAAGTGGAACGATCCTCCAGCAGCGAGGAGCACAACTGGCCCAGGCCTGGCAACTCCGGCACTACGCCAAAAGAGAAAGAACCTCCGCCTTTAGAACCCGCCAAGCCAAGAGGCAAAGCCCCCGGGGGCAAAACTGCCCCCAGAAAGGAACCCCGAACCACTGCAGCAAGCACTGCTGCTCCCGCTCCCACCACTACGGTCACAGTTCCAGACAAGAAGAAGCACAGAGGGCCTAGCAAGATCATCCCTAAGTCGAAGGAATTTATCGAAACGGAGTCCTCCTCATCAGAGTGCCACTCTGACCCTGAGGAACTTTCAAAGGTGCTCCCCTGCCCAGGCCCTAGCAGCCTGAGCCTCAAATCCAAGGACTGCAACAGCAATATCCTGAGCGTCAGCAGTCTCGCAAGCACCAGCAGCACCTCCATACCAGACCCAGGTGCCACAGACTTGCTGGAGGAGCCCCTGTTCTCACCCATCCCCATTGTACAGAACGAGCTTCTCTCGCCACTGAGGGACTTTGAGGACATCAAGTCCCTGTGGGTCAAGATCGAGCTCAGCCTCCTGTCACGGATCCCCGGACAGGAGCCGCCTGAGCCACCACCTACCAAAGCCGAGTGCCGGGAGCCCAGCATCAAGCACAGGCGACAACAGTCGCCCGCCTCCATCCCTCCTGAGAAACCCACCAGCAAATCGAAGAGGAAACACAAGGCAAGTGGGCACTTTCTTCTCTCTGTACTCTTACTGTGAAGATTATTACATTACATTTAGCTCTTAGCTTTTGTAGTATAATAAGTTTATACAACTTTATAGCCCTTACTTTTTAATTTGCCTTAAAGGTTTCGCAAGATGAAATAGCCCTAATCCTGAGCTGTGTGTTGACCATAGCCATAAAATGTAAAACCTTGGTTTTGCTGATAAGCAATGACTTAGAGCAGCAGGACATCCTCTATAAAGCCTCTTCCTCTCAAGTTGATAGCCTTCCATTACTTTGTAGAGATACAAGTGCTGGACACCGTTATACAGTTATAGCCCTAAGGAACGCTCTTAACCCAAGTATACTCCAGGGTTCATGCGGTCTGACCTTTTCATTTGTACTCCACCCCTGTGCTCAATGTTTAAGTGTTCTGGTTCAGTATGTAAGATGATATATGACCATGAAATAGGTCATATAGACTGCATTCAGTGTGTGAACGACAGCAGAAATAGATGAAAAACTGTCTTTTGTACCTGCAGTCAGAGCATTGTGAAGTGTTGAGTGGGAGCAAGAAGTTAAGACTGGAGAAAGAGGCCCTGCTGCTCCCTCCCTGTATCTCTCCTATCCACAACCACAAGGTCTCCTGCACAAAAGAGTGAGTATTTTTAGCCCCCCTTGCCACATTTTGCTTACATTATTGCACACTATTGATTTCTCCTACATGAAAGGCCTGACCTGCTAAGTGACTGTTTGCTTTGATTTTTTTTTTACTCTGTTTCTTGTGCTTGGAAATACTTTTGTTCATCCTTAACAAACAAAGTGGAACTGGAATGAGATCTGGAAAGAGTTTTTTAAACATGAGCTCAATATGTTTACCACTTTCAGTACATCACAAGCTCTGTGAAGAAAACTTTTGGCATTACATCTTCTTTTAGCATTTGTCCCCCAAATTGTTTAACCCACATGCACTGCGGCAGTCTAAGCTAACATGTGCTAGCTCAGTGAAGTTCCTCACCCCGTGTTGTGTCCTTAAAGAGCATCCTGGGATATAGAGGGCCCAGCAGAAGCAGCAGGTCAAACTCTGCACCCAGCTTTAGCTGCAGGTCTTTGTCCCTTTGCATTAAACTTACACTAGTGCGCCAGCAACGGCTAATTTTAGATATTCAATTAGTGCCAGAGCGGTCGAGCGCCTGCCAAAGACACGCTCATGACAGAGGTCGCGGGGCCATTCTGTCCGTCTGGGTGTCCACTGCACTGCGACATGACTAATGGCAGCAGATCTTGACAATGTGATCACGGCAGCTGCAGCTAAAATATTAGCCTGCGCTAATGCTTGTTACTGGAAGCGTTGAGCACCTCGGGGGCTGTTTAATGATATCACCTGCCCCGCTGGGTTTTAAATCAGTTCAGCTCAGACAGCATCAGTGCACACACTCTGCATCGCCCCTTTTAATCAGATTAGAAAAGCAAAGATGCCTTTTATTGTTGCTGTAAACCGATGGATCTCTTGACATTCCTGCATAAAACATGCCAAAGTGTGCTGCAGTTCATGACTGTTTTCTTAAAACTTCACGTCTTTATTTAGCACTTGGAGATAAGTTTGCTTTGGTATGAACTTCAGCGCTTTTCTGGTCTGTAAAAGGAAGTCTTGTTTGGTCAGTTTGAGAACATTTGTCCATGAAAATAGAAAAGAAGTAATACTCAATGTTAAGGGCTCTGTCTCAGCTCTTCTGCATTGTTAAAAAAAGGTACTGTCTGGATGTATTTTAGTCCCCCAAGATACAAACAAGATAAATGTACTCTCAGGGGTTCAACCTAGTCCTTGAGGTCCAATTGTGTACCTTAAATGAGTTTTAAAGGGAAGTGAAAGTAGTGTACCTTTAAAAATCATTTAAGGTGCACAATTGGACTTTAAGGACCAGATTGTGCCTCTGGAGGTACATTTAAAGTGCATTTTTTTTTCATATCTTTTTTAAGTAGGAAAACAAGATAAAATGCATGGAGTGAACATAATGTGCATTCAATGCAACTAAAAAAAATACTGCAATTGAATGTGGTTCAATTATGTCCCCTAATGTAAGGTACTCAGGATGTACCACCACAGTGACAGCATTTGTGCCCTGAAAGGTACAGTTTTTCTGAGAGTGTTTAGATTTTTTATTTGATTTGCTTGGACAGGAAAAGAAAGTAGCTGATCTCTGTAGTCAGGGAACTAGTAGGGAATGTAAGACCCTGGTAAACAGCGAGATGTATGGCTTTTTACACCTGGGATTTCAACGCATGCATGAATGGAATGTCTCAAATGCATCTCCAGTAGAGCTTCGTTTCAAGTTTAGGACATAATTTTCTGAGTATGTGTCGGGTTTGGGTCAAGTTACACTTAAATTTGGACAACGGTTTTTTAAATTTGGCAACTTTTATTATGGTATATTATTTTACATTTTTGTATTTCATTTGCCTGTAATCTAATTCCTGCTATTATAGTCTATTCCTGCTATTATTGTCTGGCACTATCCTGTCTGATTTTACTTCAGGTGATGATGGGCCAGTCGGGTCAAATTCGGCTATAATTTTACTGTACTCAAAACTTAAGGATGTGGTTCAGGTTCAGGTCAGGTTTGGACTCAAAATGCGATGATTTGTGGTTCGGGTTGGGTCCGTTTTGGACAGAAAATTCTGGTGCTGTATTCAATTCTGACCAAAATGGCTGGGCTGATTAAAGCTCCAGTCTCCAGTGGCCACATGTGATCAGATTTTGGGACTAGATGAACAGTAGCACACCATTTTCTAAGTCGGTCTCTTGTTGCATTAGTCAGACAGCAGTGTCCAGGGAGTCCTTGTTAATGTAAGGTCACTCCAAACAGTGTTATGAGAGAAATGTTAAAAAGTTATTATAACCATTGTTTTATCTTAGTTTAATATTGCTTTTATGTACTATGGTCCTTTTCTTCATTACAAGCATAAAAAATCACTTATATGTAGTATGCTAATGTCTCGGTAGCTAGGTAGCTAAATACCCCGTTCCACATTAAATGGTCCAGCAGTTCTGACGCCGAACAAATTCGAACAAGAAGCTGGCGAATATCTGACTTCAGCTTCATATAAACAAAGAATTAGCGGTGGGCAATAATAAATAATTGTCGCACCCCCCTCCTATTGAAGGCATATGATGCCCTAAATGTAACTAAAGCCCAGCAGTGAGGTTGCTGAACTTTAACCTCCTCTGCTATCACTGCAGACTGGACGGGTCGCCTACAGAGCAGCGCTAGTAACCTATTAATGAAGTAATGTTCTTTTTTATTTGAGGGTCCCATTTTGTTGGGAAGATTTCAACCACTAGCCCCTTATAACTCAGTTCCTAGGGGCAAGGTGACACTCGAAAACAAGGGGTAGGGGTAAAAATAAGAAATGGGTTTGGGCCTAAGCAACTTCTTTCTTCCCTTCTGTGATGATGAAACGGTTTAAGGTGGTCTTTCGACACTGTCATGGATGCATAGAGACCCTATGTGCTCATGTGTATCCCTGACCACCTCCAAAGGTGGTTTGAGTGACTGGATCACAGTGCATCTCCGAGACACGTTTTACCCCATTCTCACTATCACTTAGCGCTGTCCACTTATGATCGGATCACCCAAGAAGGGCATGTTAATGCCAGATGTAAACGTGGCCTTAGAGATTTCCAGTTGAATCATAAGGGGCTCATGCCAGACCTACTCAACAGCTCCATCAATCAATGGACCAGCAGTATTTATGTATTCAAGAGCTTAACATAGTTCATTCTTCCTGCAGTCTCCCTATGACTAGACATGTTAACAAAACATTCTAAACTACTGCAGCTAAAGCTCTGTTGCATTGCCTGATGGGTCAGCTATGTTTCTGAATATTTTTCTTTTTGTGAAATAAAAATATTAACAAAGTAGTGCAATGGGGAAAAAAGCAAGACAGCACTAAATGACACCTGGTCTATTTTTAGCCAAATTATGGCCGGAGGGCTGTGTTGAAAATGACATCACATCTCAGCAGTTGCTCATTTAAAACTTGGAGAGGCTTTTCTTTCTAATTAGGGTTTAGTTAAGTGCTGAGACATAGCCTAGGCCCTTAGGCATTCCTGTACCGAGCGCAAGCTACTGAAGCTGCCACCTTTGGGCTCTCTTCATTTTGAAATATACTTGTGTGATAGCAGAGCAGCTATTTTTGGCAGTGGAGTTGAGATGATGCTGGGCCAGTCTGCTCCTCCGGAGTGTTGTAATCAGTATTTAGCGTGTCTCTTTTATAGCCCAAATGCAACCTCGCTGCTTGCTAAATGAGTGGCGCACCTCGATAAGAGCGAGTATCCGTAAATCCCATAATCAGCTACGAGGGCCTGTTCAGTCACTTAACCTTTCTCTCGCTCACTTCAGTACACAACCTCAGGCAGAGACATTAACCTAAGATTGACTTTACATCTTTCCCTTCACATCTCCCAAACACTCTTAATGTAGTCCACTCCCGGACTCTTCACTGCTGTTTGACATTTCAATAGCGTTCCAGCACTTTGGCTGCACCCGTGCGCTCCTCGCCTCTGTTCTTTGTCTGCCTATCCAAGTGCTCTTTGATCAGATGGATACGATCGAGCGCTCAAATTGGCCGGCACTTAAGCAGAGCCTGAGGACTTCGAGCTCATTGCGAGGGGTTTTAGGCTGAGCAAAGTGTTTGGATTTGGGCCCATCCGATATATCGGTCAGTCGATGAAACGGGTGGTAAAGCTTTAATCGAACACTGCTACATAAAATTGACTTCAACTGATGTCCTGTAACCAGATATGCTGTCATGACAGATTTCAGTAATATAGGGACACTAACAAGGACTCGCCAGACACTGTTGTCTGAGAACAAATGCAACAAGAGACTGATTTAGAAAATGGCGTGCTACCATTCATCTAGTCCCAAAATCTGATCACATGTGGTCACTGGAGGCCGGAGCTTTAATAAGGCCTCACATTTGTTCTGAATTAAAAATTCCCCAGAATTTTCTGTCCAAGACTGAACTGATGTTCAGTAATATAACAGTGTCATGTTACCATTACAGTTAATTGTCATGACAGAGGTAATAATGTTTAACGTCATGACTGCTAACTGGAGTACGCTTAGCAAAAATTAGCATGTGACATAAGATGTCAACATCAAATATTATGACATCTGTTATGACAATCAGTGGTAATGGTAACATGACACTTGTATTAATGAACGAAAATCTGTCATGATGTGTTATAGCAGCATATGGCATCTGCCATAACATGGTTATGGAATGGTTATGTCAATGTTATGGAGCAGAGTTCAAGTAAAATGCTACTGTACTTTAAAAAATGAGGACACCAGAGGTCACCCAACTCAAACTTCTTATTTAGGTAAAAAATTCTTCCAGCTACTGTTTCTAGGTCTGCATCTCAGTTAGATAAACAAAACTGAATTTGTGTTTTTTTACTCAGTTTCCCCACTAGCTGGCGCTCCTTCTATCACACAGTCCCATCTGGCACATTGTCCTCTTGGGCTTCCAGATATGGACAGATATGGTATTGCTGGGATTCAAACTCATGATCTCCTGATGTTGAGATGAATCATTAGACAGTTGCGCCACATGAACCGAAGCCTTGCTTTAAAGTTAAAACAATAAATATTTTCTCCAGTGTATTAAACATTTGTGGACACAAAATCTGAGCTGCTTTATGTGTTTCTGAGTGGTGCAGTGGACTAAGCCGTCACTCCAACAGGAGGTTGTGAGTCCTAGCAAAGCCATTTGTAAGTGCATACCTAAGAGGAAACGTGTCTAGCAGGATTGTGTGATGGAAAGAGTCCTGACTAGTGGGGAAGAAAGTTTTTGAGTCAGCTAAGACGTTTGAGTTACGTGAACTCTTGTGTCGTCAAGTTGAGTCAACTCAGGAAACGCCATGAAATCAGTCACTATATCTTTTCGATCTTTCCCATTTTTAACAGTGTAATCAGCATCGAGAATGTTGGTATACACTACCATTCAAAAGTTTGGAATCACTTATTTCAACAATAAAAAAAATTGTTAAAGAAGCATAAAGTGAAAAAATGAGTCTACTACTGTACAGCTAATTAGATTTCAACTAGTTTGTAAGAAGCTGTAAAAATGATGTCTTTTTTACGCGTCCAAAATAAGGAACAGAGCTGTAGATGATTCTATGTGAGTGTGTGAAATCTTTTAAAACTCTGAATGAAGTTATTATAAAACATATAAGACTTCAGAAATAGGAATTCCTCATATTTCTGAAGTGGGGATCAAACCTTGAACTTACAGAATTAATGTGAATAGATAATTACAGTTTATTATTTAGCATTTAACTCATTGAGGTTCCCAAAGAAGTTTATATTTATAACATCTTATATATATATATATATATATATATATATATATATATATATATATATATATATATATATATATATATAACATCTTAAAACACCTTTTTGTCTCTAACTTATAGTGTTTCAATCTTAACTCTATAGGCCATTGAATGAAATGGCAGCAGTTATTCACATGACAAGTGATTCTGAACTTTGGAACAGTAATATCAATAATATTGATGTTGTAATGTCTGGCCCAATCAGCTGTGGACTCATGGGAGGCATGGCCTGCACGGCCACGTTCCACAGTTACTTCAATGGCAGCGATGAGAGAGACTTAAACACTGCAAATAGTTGTTGTGGCTTAAATGGTGTGTATATGTGTTGTTTGTGATGTTCTGTGCTGGGCTGTGGGGCTGGTTGGGTGAGCTGATTGGTCCCCATGGACTGGATGTATGTGGCTGGAGGCGACCTACTCTGTGTCACAGCCATTCTGCAGCACTGAGCGGCAGCTCTCCCCTGCTGCTATGTTCAATAAAAGAGTATTCGTTTGAAGCGCTATGCTTCCCACATCTTTCTCTTCTCTGTTGATGTCACAATTTTAAGGTTTCACATATTTAGTGGTATTGGTTATAATCCCCCTGTTAAAGCGCCAGTATTGCTTTAAAGTTGCCTGGTTCATATTATAATGAACACACTTGTCTAATGTGAGAGAAATTGCTTGTTTCTGAGGATTTTAGTGGCTCATGTTCTTCTACCACTCCTAACAAAGACTGAATTTGCAGACACCAACTGCTTACTTTTATTACAGCAATGCAGGCTGAACTTGGAAAAAAATACCATTATGGTTAAAAGAAATAACATAAACAAGTAAAATGCATGCAAACCTAACTAGCACGACATGTCACAACACAAAAAAACAGTTCTAAAAAAGATATTTAATAGAAACCAGCAAAACTGCACACTGTCGGGAAGCCGCACTGCTGGCGCTGCAATATTTGTATTATTTAAGACTTTCTGCTGTTTCTGCTCTTTACTTTAGGTTAAGGAACTTGACAACTTGAGAACAGATAGTAATATGTGACAATTCACAGCTCATACATCAGCCAAGATTATTGTTTACCAGATTTGTAAGGTCCTGGAAGGGAAATTATGCTGATTTTTCAAAATTCCCATATAATTCAATCGTTAAGATGTAAACAAAATCATTCAGAATGGTTTGATGTGAAATTCATCCTTTTAGAGAAACTTAGAGTCAGAATTGTTCACAGTGGTGGTGATAGGAAACAGACATCCCCTCACACAAATACTTTGCCTGCTGCCTGACATTGTTTTATGTTTGTTTTGAGAGAAGCTCTGGCCTAAAATGTAATTTTTTAAAGGCATTTTTGGCAGAGAGGGGTTGTAAGGCACAACAGGACCAAAATAAAGACATTGTGAACCCTGGTTCCTGTCACCACCACTGTAAAGACAATCGGAGTCTTTTCATTTCTCTACAGCAGAGCGTTTTACATCAAACCACTCTGAATGATTGTGTTTACTTAAGAACCTTTAAAATACATATTGGTATCAGTAATTAAATTTTCAGATGCCACTAACATCTCTGCGTGTGTTGTTTCTGCCAAGCTCGTCGAAGAAGCAGCCGAGGAAGCTGTTGCCGCCGTTACTGTCGCCGTTGTCGGATGAACCGGTGGGCCGCCAGCGGAGAAGCAGCGAGAGCAGTTCTCTCAGCATGGAGAGCAGCACAGCCGTCCCCACCACGTTACCCTCCACCCACTCCCTGCCCCCTTCCTCCTCTTCATCATCGTCATCCTCGTCACACAAGCACCGCAAAGGAGAGAGCAAGTCTCACTCCAAGACCAGCAGTGTAAGGGCAATGCTATTTCAATGCATTTGTTGTCTAAGTACAACTTTACTGCAAGTATGTTTATGTGTATTTTTCACATAATCACCAGTGTAACCTCATAATATACAACAGCAGTAATTATTGATTTTGTAAAAGAGCTGTTTTATGATTGTTCTTGTATCTGAAGCATGTGCTGCTAAAGCCAGAGAGTTTTCTCCAAAAGATACACTTTCATATTCAAAGCTGAAGGACGCTTTTGTTAAGCTAACCATGTAACAAAGTAATAATGTAAACTACAGTATAAAAGTCACCTCCAGGGTTTTCTCTAGGTTTTAATTTGGCACTGCCTGTCTTGCCACATGTCTGAATTAGCATATCGCTGCTGTCGGAAGAAAACCTGGTAACACTTTACTGTAGGGTGCTGTTCATAAGGCTACATGACACCTACATAAGCTTGTCATGATAACTTACATAGCCCTATATAAGTTTTTATAAACGTTTATTCCAAAACGCGTCATTTGCTATAAAGGTTACATTGGCCAATTTTGATCAAAATCAGCTAAAGTAGCCTTTATGACAGATGATGCCTGTTGTAATAAGCATTTATGAACAGTTATGTAGGAATATGTCAGTTGTCATGACAACCTTATGTAGGTGCCACGTAGCCTAATGAACAGCGCCCTACAGTAAAGTGTTACCGAAAACCTCATATCTCCTCTTTTGTCATTTTTCAGTTTTTGACATAATTTGAAAATACCTGTTGCTCTTTACATAGTATGTAAATTTCATGAAGAATGGACCAAAAGAAACGACCCAAAATGGCTTGGAAGAAAGTCTGGTTCCATTGACTTACATTAAAAGTAAAGTAGGTTTTTTCCTTCTCCTGTAAAGTTACCAATTTGGAGACACAAGGTTTTCTTCCAACAACGGTGATATAACAATAGTTATAATAGTTATGATCACTCACTAAATATTATTTAGTGGAATGTTTAGACTTTAAAAATATAAAGTCATGTATTTAAAAGTCTACCTACTTTTTCCTTTGAAACTTTATTAAAAACTAAAGAGTTAGTGGAGACACGGTCTTGTAGGAATCACTGCACAGCAGAGTTTGAATCATCCACTCTTGCCATAGATTATTTCTTCCTTGCTGGAGGCTTCGACCACATTTCCTGTGTTTTTACAAAACTAATTACCCTTTTGGAGGGATTTCAAAATAGCCTTGAAGACAAGAAAATGGATGCCATGTGCCCAGTCGTCTGAGCTGAAACTCTCAAAGCTGTCCCAGAAACAAAGCGAAACAGCCGACATGATTCCTTTCTATATTATTTGAGCTGCTAAATGCTGATTAGCATTTTAATGGACTCTTCATATAGCAGGAGGAAGACAGCCATGCGAAGGCCTCCAGTGGTTTCCACGGCAACGGTCAGTCAGAATCTGACGTGTGGCCGAACCCCTCGGCTCTGTCAATGGAGAACGTGGAGCCGAGGAGACCCAAGCTCACATTCAACAACACGTATGTACTGCACATTAAACACGTGTTAACACATTGTGTTTTAGTTGGCATGAGAGTAAAAACTGCATACAATGGAATTATATGATGAACAGCCCAGTACAGCCTTGGGCAGGCAGTCCTGCAAATGGTAGGCCAGTTTGTTGATACTAAAACAACAAATGCCATGAACAAAAACAATACATCCACTGAAACATGAAATATGTACAGTTCAGAACTGTGTTTTATAAAACTCTGGATACAGTAACTGGTAATTAACATCTCATTGTTGCTGATACTGATAACCATAACTGATAATTTGACCTTTTTTGCATTTATTATAATTGTTTAGTACACACTCTTATCACAAAGGCATTCACAATGGTAAGTGAATGTAATATTGGGAGTCTAGCCCAAGGACTTATTCTGTTATTCTGCTGTTGGTAAAGCAGTGGTGCCTAGATGTGGATTTGGACCCTGTTTTACCATGTGTGTGATGGTGCTGTTATCCATTATGCTATGTGTGTTAGTTTACAAGAATTCCCACCACAAGTGACTACATGCATCGGTTAGATGGATTGGATGTCAAATTATTAGTTATGAGCCAAAATTCCATTATGAAACTGAAAATTGTAATAATTTTAAAATTAATCAAATTAGTTTTCCCTATTAATCAGCAAATAATACACTATATGTCCAAAAATTTGTAGACACCTGCTCCTTCAACGTCCGACACAAATGCCGCTTCAACTCATCCTAAAATTACTGGACGGTGGTCCATCTCTGAACACAGATTCACTTCTCCCCAGCCTAAGGCTTTATACACCTCGATGGTGAGTTGATGGGGTCATCAACACTGTCTAATGAACAACAGGCCTTTTGTTAGGCTGTGGCTGAAAAGTCCCTCCAAAAACTCCAGATGAGTATGTAGATCTGTGTCACATGTGTGGAGAACATTGCATTACATGCAGTAGAATAAACGTTCCCTCTTGTGAGATGAAAACACTTCTGTCAGCCAAGGATAGAGATTATTAGCTAGCTTGTTTGGCTTGTGTTGTAGTTGTATTCTAGATTTTAAAAGAGTATGGACGAGAGGAATTTGGGGGTGGGTTTTAGAGGGGGCACGCTCTTGTTAGTTTAACAGGTTATCACCAGGCATTGTGACATGATCATGTCTGGCCCCGCGAGACTAGCCAGTGCTTAGCCAGTGGACATGGTGACCTCATGACCTTAGGCAGTTGTAGGGTAGAGGTTAGGGAACCAGCCTTGTGCCCGGAAAGTTGCCGGTTTGATCCACTGAGTCAACAGGACCGAAGTGCCCTTGAGCAAGGCACCTAACTCCCAAACGCTCCTCGAGGGCTGCCCACCACTCCGGGCAAGTGTGCTCACTGCCCCCTAGTGTGTGTGTGGGCTCACTAATGTGTATGTGGGTGTTCTACCCCACAGATGGGTTAAATGCGGAGGTGAATTTCCCTGTTGTGGGATTAATAAAGGATAACTTATTACTTATGTGCAGCTGCACCACAGCATCCCGTTCTATTGGCAGTGCTCTTCTTTGGAGTTTGTAGAAGCTAATTAGAAGTAGTGTCTGGATACTTTTGGACATATAGTGTACGCTAGCTGCTGTAAAATGTTGAAGTCTTCAGAGGATTTGATGCACATGATGAAATGTATGAAGAGGTTGTGTCTAATGCATAAGCTCTTTTGGTAATCCTGCTCAAATGATCTTGCTCCACAGTGTTCACAATGCAGACTACTATATGCAGGAAGCCAAGAAACTGAAGCACAAAGCTGATGCGCTGGTAAGCCTGACCTTGCAATAAGTTCTAATACACCAAGTTAATACTTCAAAGTGGAATGTTTTCATGAATTAAAAAGACTTCAAACACATCTCATAAAAGAATACCTTTAATTGCATTTCTGTTTCGTTAATTAGCATGATGCCTTCAAGTGATGTCACCGACACATGTGTCAAAGTTAATTCAAAGTTAATATGAGAACTGATGATAAGAGCAGGTGTTAATATTTTTACTCAGCTTCCATTGGATTGGACTGAACTATTTCTGGCACTTCGCAGGTTTTAATTACAAGCAGCTATAGCTCATCTGTGCTATTGAGGAGAGCCTTTAACAGTGTAAAGAGGGTTTTTGAGCAAAGGCCTTTGCTCATGAATAAGCTCCAAAAGAGCATTCTCACTCCTCCTAAGTACTTTAAAGAAGGGCCTTTTGCTCATGATTTACTAAACAGACTTCTACTGCCCTAATAATTGGATCCAGGCAATTATCTCTTGAGGCATTGTCCTTTATAGAAAGTTACATCCACTCCACCATAAATCGGCCCAGTGATGTAAAAGCCTTGTCATGAATACAGAGTGAAGGGAATTGATGCAGGAGCATAATCGCCGGTATGTAATGAATCTGGGGCTGCCGCCTGGCTCTTATTAAAGGCTTTATTTGGAAATAGATGGAACCTGTTCAAGAAGTGCCTGTGAAGACAAGTGGACAGTAAATCTGTTTTACAGTTTCCTGTGCACGAGGCATATAATAAGGATTTGTGTTAGGCTCCTTAGCGGAGCAATGTTTAGCACTATTGATTAGTATCTGATTCATGAGAAGACTTCATGCTTCCCTGTGAACTCTTGTCAACAAATCAGGGTTGTAAAAGGACCAGAATAAGCAGCTGATCCATACACAGTTTTATAAAACAAAAACAGTTGTTCAAAAGTTATCAGGAGCTTTTCATGCTCGGTTCATTAATATGTACATTGTCTAAAACTGGGTTTAAAATCAGCCGAGCAGTTTTACGAAGACATTACTCTGGATTTGCGTAGAATCTTTCTGTAGGCCCCCTAGAGGACATTTTGTCCGAAATGAACGCAGATATTTTTATATAATAAAATCAAATAAAACATTTCCCCATAAGATTAACTAAGACACTGTTGGCTCTCTGTGTTGAGCTGCTAGTGAGCAATGAAGGGTGAGAGTGGAAGGTTGAGAACCCCCTGCTGTGAGAACAGTTCATGTGCACCTCTGACATTTCCATCAAAATATGTTTAAGCAATATTATTAAAGAAAACAAATATTGCATAGTTAAACTGAGGGACCTCCAAAACAAGTAGAAGCTGAATGTTATGGCTACTGCAAACAGTAGCCTACTGATGCTTTCTGTTATTCTGCTATTCCAAGAGCTGTTTAGTCAAAGCTATGAAAAGCTTTGAAACTGATCTTGTGTCTGATCTTAATCCCTGGTAGGACTGTCTGCTTAAAAAGAGTCCCAGATAGTGAAGTAACTGAGTAAAATTGAGTAATGTTGTTCACCTAAGATGCAGAGTGTTCGGAGAATTTTCGACTAGGCTAAGAAGTTTGAGTTGGGTGAACTGTAGTTTCAAGTTAATGAAAAGCAGTGTAATCAATTACCTTAAGTTGCATAAATATGTACATTTGACTTACATTCTGTATTGACAGATTCTACATTTCTGACGTTTATTCCATCAAACACAAGGCAAAAATTAGTGCTGCACCGATACTGTATCGGTTTATCTGTTCACTGTTTAGTTCTGTTTTTAACTGTTCTGCACAATAAAGATATTTTACATTTGCTTAAGTTACATGCTTCCTAATACTAATTATACAATAGTAAATACTAAATGGATACAGTAAATAAACAAAAATAAGTTTTCTTAAGCTTCTAATAAATATAATCCGACAAGTAAATGCCATCTAGCCAAGCTGAGTTTGTTTTATTTGTGATGCATTTCACCAAAATGAAATGTTTTAAAAATGTAACTGTATAAATATCAGGACTTATATGCGAGTTAGGTTAGATAGAGTTAGTATCGGTATCGGAAGGGAAAAAGTGGTATCAGTCCATCTCCAGCAAAAATGTAAGGCATAGTTGTTTTTTTACACAGAGCAAGACTGAACTTTCACCATTAAACATCTGGACTAAACCTTGTAATTTCTGTCCTTTTGACAATAAATATATACAGTCGTACACAAAATTTTAAACACCACTGGTCAAGTTTTGTTGATTTTCTAAGTGAATAAGTTCCTCTAAACATCCTCCACAGGGAACACAGAACATAAACATGGCTTTTTCTGCAATTTTTTTTGCAAAATTTCTGTTTATTTACAGAGTTTAGCATGTTAAAAACATAAAATATAAAATGTGCCATAACTTTTGCACAGGCCACATTCTATGCTTTTATTTTTTTGTTTCTCTGCTTGTTTCCCTGAGCCAAAAAGTGGAATTAATTATGAATTATTATGAATTAATAAATGTAAAATAATTAATATACAATTAGAAGATGCTTTTGGTTATTACCCACAAAAACTGAGACTTCTAAAAGGCAATAGTGTTCTCTGTCAGTCTCTTATGCCACTCTCTGCTTCCCCCACAGATGGAGAAGTTTGGTAAAGCCGTAAATTACGCAGACGGCGCGCTTTCCTTCATCGAGTGCGGCAACGCCATGGAGAGAGACCCGTTAGAGGCCAAGTCACCGTATACCATGTACTCGGAAACCGTGGAGCTCATTAGGTCAGTGAGAGCAAACACTTCTCATCTCTGAGCCTTCTCTTCTCTGAGCCTCTCTCTCTCTCTCCCTCGCTCGCTCCCTCCCTCAGGGACGGCCACCCTACCTGCCATGATTAAAATAAAAAAAGATGATTGTCATTAGGACCACCGCTGGGCAACTCCACATTACAAGTCACGCAATTAGCAGCCCTTGTTTTATTAATGTCACGGGGAATGAAAATAGATGGACCTCGAAGCTCATCAGCGCGCTCGGAGATTCGACCAGCGCTGATTGAAACTGGAGCTGGGAGAAAGCCGCGTCTGCTTGTGCAAACTCGCACGCACACACAGCAGTCGCTCGTATAAGGGACCATAAAATGGGGTCGCATTAGACCATTAAACCTAAAGGATTTCATTTATGCTGAAATGGAAATGTACTGATGAGATTTTCTTAATTCTGTAGTTGTGTGATCATTAACATTAGCATTGCAAGCAGCGATGCTCCATAAAAAATAAACTATAAGAACCTCACTGTGATACCTCATTGCTTTCCTGACTCATTTGCTTGTTTTGTTCTTTGTCATTTAAGGTATGCGATGAGATTAAAGAACTTCACAAGCCATTCAGCCACGCTAGCAGAGAAGAAATTAGCGGTGTTGTGGTGAGTTGGAATTTCCACATGGATCTTTGTAGATCACAGCCAGTATCTGTTATATCTCATATGAAAATGATCTGTAGAAGTTCTTTATTTTACATACAGACGTCAAAATCAGTTTACAGTTCACTACTTTGGAGCGATAGTTGCATGAAAAATCAAATTAACGCTATTTTCCGCTTAACCCAAATGTGATCAGCCACCCAAGACATGCTTGAGTATTCATTCATTATGTTAGTATTGGTTTATTTATGTAGCATTGGTTTTATTTTGTAGTATCTTATTTTGTAGTATTTTAACCCTTTAGACTCTAGAAAACTCTTGTGGGTTCAATTTTAGGAAGAACATGTTTGTTTATTACTGTTCAAAACAAAAGATTTTATCATAAAACCAAGAAAAAATGTCAGTTACTTACCAATGGATGTGATATTAGTCCTTTGGTAGTAGTAAAAACACATCATACCCAGGTAATCTTAGCTAAAGGCTGAACGCAGCCACACTCCCCTCTATAGTTCCACATATCACCCCTTTCCTTTAAACAACTGACGCTTGATAAGTTTGATAAGATCTCTTTTACACAAAAATAAAAACACATGAATTTGTTCAGCTGTAGTTTTGAACAGTAAATGACATTCAGGTCAGACGCTGAACACGTCCTTATTTAGCACGCTAAGAGACAGAGACAAACAAAGGATTGCAGGCTGGCTAATCGGTTTAGCCGATTCTAGTTATGAACACCTGTAAATCTAAAAGAATTTAGTATAAAACACTAAAATAACTTGCTGAGTTGTCAATCCTGAACAAGATTTATGTTCGCCTATCGTTCTACAGGTTGCAATGACATTTGAACTTGGCTGATCGTTCAGTAAACCAACCAAACTATGGAAACACATCAACCAAAGATTTAGAAAGTTTTGCTTCTGAACTTATTTGTGTATAATCATTACTATCCAAGTAAACCAAAATCTTGTCAGACTGATTTGTCTCCTTCTCTGACATAACTTTACAGCACATCGGTCTTTCATCGTCTTTGGGACGCCTGTTGTAAAAAGAGATGTATAAATGTAAAACTAATCTAAACTATTCAGAAAATTGAATATTTTTCAAAACTAAATTAAATTAAAAACGTACAGTTATGGTCATTTATATTACTAAATGTTGTTTTTTTAAGGGTTGTATTGAGAACAAGTTCTCAAGCACTCATTTGGTAAATTAAGCAGAGTATTTGAAGCCTGTAAAATGCTGTTAGTGTCAGCACTAGAAGCTTGAGTCTTTAGTTTTGCACTGAAGCTACGAGGGTTATGTAGGCAGCAAGTAATGGAAGCCTATACATGGCCTGGTTCCAAACAAATGAATACAGGCACATGCTAGGAAAGTATGTGGTTGTTCCAAAAAGTGAAATAGCACCAAAAATAAAAAAGCCCATGAACTTACTGTAATATCTCAGCATTAATTGCTGATTTGTGGAGATTACCCAAGCAAAAACATCATAGGTACTACAGAAGAGTGGTTTAGAGAAATTGGTCCATATTCATAGAAGTAAGCTTATTTTATTAACTTCCCAGACATTAATGAACATCCAGCGACAACATCTAACAACAGAGGATGCTAACAGCACAATGCATAGCTTGCAGGGATCATATGAGTGTTTTAGGCGTTATATAGGCGCTATGTAGATTAATTATAGTCTTCATACTACACTACCAGAGCCGTTCTACGTTCTATGGCACTTGTGATGAATTAAGCAATATTTTCCCTCAAATAACAGAGCAAAATTTCAAACCTAGGGTGCAAGGCCTACCTGTAGTGTCATCAGCTAGCATCATTGTGGCAATTGCATGCCTAAATCATCACACATTCGCCTCACACAGTGTCAAGGTGTTAATTAATGACAAATAGACTTACCTATGTGATTTATAATGCTTCATGACATACTGTTGTCTTCAATAGAGACAAAAGTATGGGTGAAATTCAGGTTTTCGGATGGTTGTTATTATCATATTTGATGTTTGTATGGTTTTATGTACCAAAAACTGTTGTAGTTCATTTTTTACATGAGCATTTTCCATCATTTCTTATCCTTTAGGCTATTTTTGTTACTCTTTCTTTAAGACTGATATATGTAAATGATCACTGTTCTCATTCGGTGGTCTGTATTTTGCCTCATTCAAAAAGGAGGCCAGGCTGAAACAGTCTTTATAACTTCAGGTTGAATGGGCGGGACTGAGAAGCTGTAGGTTAAATAGAAAAATATATGTAAATGCACTGGATTTTCATGACATAACAAAAATGCAGCTTAGTGTCCATATATGGGCTGTATGGACAGTTTGTTTTAAACTTTAGACAAGTTTACATACTACATCAAACTCTTTTATTAAAAAAAAACGAAGAAAAATTAGTTTTCCATGAAATGGACCCTTTAAATCAGTTTTTTGGCCGAGGTATCTCTTTAAAAAGAAGTGATAGCAGGGTCATAAAATTGGGAAAGTAACAAAACGTGACTTTCGTAAAAATACTGTCCCACATAATTGAATGATTCATAAGGAATATAAAAAGAAGAGGGCATTCGCATTTCACTTTAATCCTTTTCATCTTTAAATTTGAATACAGTCATCATGAGCGTTGGGTAAATGCCAGCATGTATTTGAAGAGCGAGGGTTATGTTTTCAGCCTGCCAGTGAGCGTCCCGAGGGTGGCACCATAAAAACCCACAGCACCTCCTCAGCCGTCAGAAGCTAAACCTGCCACTTTGCTCCGTCTAAATCTCCTCTCAGCCATCGCTAGTCGACAATCGTCCGTATCTGGGAGGGGAGGCTTTAAAACACAGCTAAAGCGCTTAATCAGCTTAGAATGGATCATTATTCTTGTATTTCATTAAGCCATTAGAGGATAATGAAAGATTTCTGCACGGCAGCGGGCCGGATATATATTCCCTCCCAGATAAAAAGCGTCCACGAGCCCGCCTGCCTGTCACCTCGCAAAAGCTTGTTTATGTTTGAATGTCAAGGTTAGATTTGTGCTCGTGGCAGGATGACAGTCAGCCCGGATTAAAATTCAGCCACCAGCCTCGCCCTCTTGTTAACCAAAGTCATCTAGCATTTGAAGGGGACTTTCAAAGTCTCCTTCAGTTGCATTTTATAGGCCTCAATCAAAGCCCTGATGATGCATTTGAGGTTGTAGATGCATTTTAAGGAAGAGGAGGGACTGTCAAATATGTTTTACTCTTATCACCAAAGTGAAGCTTCACACAGACTTTGGAAACTCAAATGTGACACAAGGGCGCGTCACAGAATCAGCGCATACGCATCGACAGGTATGGAAAAAAGTACCGGTCGGTTATGAAAGCTGTCCTACATCTGACCTAGTTTTCCTGGCCTGTGAGGACACACTGTTATGGCTCTGAGATGAGGAGTCTGGTCCTATTAGAAATGACAGAGGGCTAGTTGGGTTTCATGGGGCGGTGCATATGTCCCAAGCATCTGCTGTCTCACAAGCGTACGACTTAAAGGTCAGGCACTCTATGTTACTGGCCGTACACTTTCCAGTACTCTCATCCGCACGTACCAGGATGCCTTATTTTTCTATGTCTGTTTGTTTACTTACCTGTTTTGGTTGTAACATTCCATCACATTTCACATTATTATTTGATTATCAACTTAAGACTCATTATTTAATAACTGCTATGAACTTTTTGTTAACTACTATACAGGTTATGTAAAGTGCTGTGCAAAAGTCACAAGAGACCATGTTTTATTTCTTTAATTTCTAGTCAAAGCAGTACAAGTTATTCATATTTCAATGTCAGGGAAAAGCAGAAAACAGAAAATTACACAGAAGCCTTGACAACTAAATATACTATCAATTTTTTCAGTATTTAGTCTGTTCAGTGTTTGCCTTAATTACAGCTTCCATTCATTTCAGTAGACCTGCTTTCAGTTTTTCAAAGAAATCTGCAGGGATTTTTCCACAGCTCCAAAGTTCAGTCTAAGAAGTTGGTTGCATTTACTGCTTCTCACAATCCAAGTAATGCCAGACACATTCAGTGATGTTGAGATCTGGACTCTGGGGTGGTCAGTCCATTGTTCTGAGAACACCAGCAGCTTTTTTGCTACATATTGTCTTCTCACAGCGAAACGATGGACAGAGTCACAGCTTAAAGTGCTGTTTCTATGATGGTGACAGTTTTGGTGGTCTCCTGTGTCTTGAAGGGTTTTTTTTTCTTTCTTTTAATACTTTTCAAGGAAGAGAATTATCTCATATAACTTCATCAGGATCTCCTGAGTATCTTAAATTGCTGTTTTGACTGGAAATGAACTAAATGAAAGGTGGCCTCTGACCTTTGCTCTGTGCCTTTAGTTATGAGGCTATAGAAGAGATTAAAGAGTTAACTGGGAGAACAGGCCCGTGTTTGCACATCGTGTATAATTGCAATATGTGTTTCCTTTCTCCGCAGCAATCGTTGTTTATCCCTGCTGTACTTGCGGATGTTCAAGCTGAAGAAGGATCACGCCATGAAATATTCGCGCTCCTTAATGGAGTACTTCAAGGTAAAGAACCTCCCACCCCCCCACCGCATCTGCTACAACAGAGGAGCTGAGCTAGAGTTTCCGAGCTTTGCGGAGCCAATTTTCGCCTGGCTAAATTGAATTCGTATTTGTTTGAATAGCGTGTTCTCATTAATTTTGCATGCCGTTATTAAAAGCAGTTCATTTATTCGGTTAGTGTACAAATTAATACCATCAATTATCTGCACACATTGTCAGACTGTAAGCCCATTATGATTAATCGTGTTTGAGCTTTTCCACCACGAGCGCTGCGCTCACAAAACGCGCTCTGGCGGTTAACATAAATAATGTTTGCTTTCTCGTGCTTCTCTGCAGAACTCGGCAAAAAGTTCCCAAGCACCTTCGCCATGGGGAGCCAATGGAAAGTAAGTCCTTTCTTTTCTTTAATATCGCTCCCTAACCTCCAGAAGAGCTCCTCCTCTTCGGCTTGCAGTAAGCAGTGGGAAAGTGTAGACCTATGGGCGTGCGATGCAAAACCTCGGTCATGGTTACTTTAAGCAAATGAGAGGGCATGAAGAGATGAACTCTGGAAAGGCAGCAGCTCTTCCATTACCAGCGCCATGGCAACCTAACGTCCGCGGGGCGGGCTAGTGCAGGAAGCTCGGTGCGTGTGAGAAAGAGAAAGAGAGAGAGCGAGTTGGCCTCTGGCTGGACACTACCCAGGCCTGCTGCTCTGCAGCCAGCGCGCCTGTCAAAACCAATTAGCTTAGGCGGCCAGACCCCTCCAGCTTCTCTGCCCTTCGCTAATACATTAGCAGCAAAGAGAGTGTTCTAATCCTCCCCTACCTGCTGCAGCTATGATCAACACCAGCACCCCCTACCACCCCAACCCCCCCCCCACACTTTCCTCTCTGCACTGTGTTTACCTTCTTCACCATAATGAATCTTTTCTCCCTTCCTGCTGTCTCTGCCGTCTTTCCTTCCTGCCAGTGGTTTGTTTATTCGTGCAAAGCCCGCAAAACTGCCCAAGAACGGGCTTCACTGTTGACAGCGAACATAATTTAGCCTTGCGGGGCCTGAGCGAGGTTCAATTTATCGCTGGATTACAGGCGACGTGGCCTGATTGTTTAGGTTTAAGCACTAAAAAGACTGATGTCTGTGTTCGTTGACTGGCACACGGTTCCAGCTGCGCTTGAGTGAGAGCAAAAACCTCAGCTTGATGCTTATGACGTTCAGGCGAGGAACTAAGCTAGTCAAAGCATTGTTTGGTCAACTTGAAGTGATGTATCACAAGCTCTCTGATTAAACTTTAGCCCTTAGAGATAACAAACCCTGCCAAAAATACAGATTCTAAAATTTCAATTGATACCACATTTTATTATTGTTTGAATTTGATAATGTTGCTTTATTATTATGGAACAATCCTTTACTTTTTTTGCATGTATTTGTCATTTCTTGACATTGAAGTCAGAAAAGTAGGCTAAAACCTACCGATACAGAACGTAAATGAATGTAGATGCATTTTATTATGTAACTATGTAATTAACCATGTAATTGTTTAATTACATAGTAAATAAGGTAAGACACTACAGGCAGAAATGACAATTTTGTCCCATCAATTTTTTTAGGTTTTTGGGTTAATTGTATTTATAACATGTCAGAGCTAAACATTAATATCATTATTTCCACATGTTTAGTCAATTAGATTCCTCTCTAACTGTATTTTACTAAAGCTAGCAACTTTAATAAAGAGACTAAGCTCCACCCACACTTGTCACAACCATGTCATGTCATAAACCGATCAAAAGCGCATGTCCTGTAGAATCTAATGCTACGTTTACACAACAGGTAAAAGTGGCCCAAATCCGATCTTTTTTCTCATATGTGACACAGATGTGTCATCTGTGTGGCAGTGTGAACAGCAAAAAACGCATTCAACGAATCTGACATTTTCAATTCCGATTTGAGACGCTTTCATATGTGGTACTGAAATCCGATACGTATCCGATCTGCTGCAATGCGACTCAGTCTGAACAGCCAGATTGGAATTCATGCGACTTTTACGTCAGTACAGCTCGACATTTGTCATAATTTTGCGCTGCTGAGACTCTTTAGTATTTAGGCTGATGTTTCTGTGCCAAAACATCAGAAGAGACTCATCAAACCGCTCCGTGTTCGAAGAGGTTTCAAACGGAACGGCCGAATGCGGCCGGAGGAGCTGAGGCTGCAGCGTCAGAGAACAGTTTAAAGAATCCGAGGACGCGAACCAAAGAAGTAGCCGAGGCCGAATAACGCGCCCTTTTTTCAGTGAACTCACACACATTGTGGGTGATGAGTCCAGCTGTCAGTCATTGGAACTTCATAATCGCTCCTGTGATGCTGGTGAAGACTAAACTGAAAGCTGCGGGAGCGACTGGCGTTCGATTGTTTACCTCTGTATGAGCCGCCACGTGAAGCATTGTTCTTTAGCGCATGTGGGTCAGTTTAGGAGCTGATCTGTTCAGACTGATGTCGCATACAGATCATATTTAAAAGATAATGTGAACTGTGATATCTTTTGTTACAAAATGACCCTATCCACCTGTACTGCCTAAAGTAGTGTAGCATTTTAATAGCAACAGCAATAATAACTTTAGACTTCTAAAGGTTAAGCGGCCAGGGCTCACCAGAAGGCCCAGCGTTTTATTACACACCTCTGTATCCTAAGAATAGCTCAGCCAGTTTGCATTGAAGTCCCTGTAATTACTATATAATAAACCTGAGTATGTAATAAGCCTGAGATTTTAGGGGTTAATGTGATTGTGGCCTTTACACAAATCTCAAAATAGCAGTTGTGACTCGTCTAGTAACACCTGCCTTTTTATGAATATAAGGTTGTGTTTTCGGTTTCTGAACTGCTCATTACATAAAAAAGGCACTACGGCTTCTTGGAGTGCAGACCATGCAAAACTGCAGTTCTGTAGTAATTAGAGTCAGTGCTGTTATTCAGAAATAATTGAGGACTCTTAACTTGCAGAAAAGAGGTTGCATAGTTTTGTACATCTGACTTTTCATGATCATATTTTCCGTATCTTATGAACTAATGTGCATGTCCCCTCCCTCTTTACCCATACAGAAGTACCGGCACACCCTCTCCCATGTCCCTGAGTCCCTCCCCCATCAGCTCTGTCAGCAGTAGCACCGGAGCCATGGGCTCTTCCTCCTCCTCTTCATCCTCGTCAGGCAGCGTGGCCATCCCCCAGCGCATCCACCACATGGCCGCCAGCCACGTCAACATCACCAACAACATCCTGCGCAGCTACGAGCACTGGGACACGGCCGACAAGCTGGCCCACGAAAGCCAAGGTAGGCCTTGGAAACCAGAGCTGCGTTTGGCAGCATTCAGCAGTGTAATAAACTACACTTGTTAGAGGAGTTGAGTACATATTTCCCTCTGATGGATAGATTCAGCTTAATTAAATTAATATTTAATAACCATTAAGGAGTAATGAAGTTTTCACAACTCAACTTCCAAGCTTGTAGAGAAGTGATATACCGGCTAAGCTTAGCTAAATAGCTTCTGTTTTTTTATTCTGCTGGCTTAACATATAAACCAGACAGCTTTTAAAGCGAAAAATGCAGCTTATATGTTCTGTTGTGCCTGTTAGCTGGCTAATTTAGCTAGCTTCAGCTAATGTTCACAGTGAACTAATGGGAAGCTGAGTCAAAATCTTGAGCATCCAGCTTTCTTTCTGTAAGGTGAACATTAACCTCTTTCTGCAAGCCCTCTACTGGCAGAGTGGAAAACTACTTGGGTATTTTTAATTAATACAATCAAATACATTATTTCTCCCATAACTCTGTTAAGCAGGGTATTGTTGGCTCTCTCTTTGTTGAGCTGCTAGTGAGCAATGATGAGTGAAAGTGGTGAGAATCCCATGCTATGAAAACAATTCACACCTCTCTACAATGATGACCATGCAGAGATAAAACAAACAGCACACCTGCAGCTTTCTTCATGTAAATAAAAATGTACAACTGCAACAATTAAAAATAGCATTTAAACTCAATAAAAACACTTTTGTTGACTTGCTTGCTCACGTACAATGACGGAAATCCAATTTGCGTCCAGATTTCAACATTTCCAAATTTGAATATATTATGTCAATGATACTGAATTTTAAAAAAATGCAAAGAACAGAAATTGAAAGACGTCCAAAACAGACAGAAATTCCATTTTGTGGGTGCTGTGAAAAGGGATTTAATGGTCAGTTTCCTGGACGTGGATTAAGTCTACTCTTAGATGAAGTTGCTGTGCTGGTGGTGAATCACCATAGGGAATTCTTTATGGTCTAGGCTTACGCTTAATCTGGGTCTGGAAAACATCCCTAAAGTAACCCAAAGTAATTAGTAGATTTTTTTTAAATAAGCAATGTATTTACTATTGTATAAGTCATTTTCTTTATTTTTAACTTTTATTATATTCAAGTAAATTACCATTGCCATAGCTATACAGTGAAACAGAGATTTTAGAACTTCTTCATAGTTTTCAGACAGTCCCCATTAACCTGTGCCATTATGGCATGTACCAGTACTTGAATGGCTGACAAAGTCATAATTGCAAGTGGTAAAAAGTTACCCAAGTTTATAAATTTACCAACCAGAACATTGTCTGATACCAGAGATTGTTCTCCAAGTTAGTGTTGGTCCATCCATGTGTTTATACAGTTATATGCAAAAGTTTGTGCAGACTTACTCTTAGTTTATAGAAGTGTGTAGTAACAATCTGGACCGACCTGTGGCTCCTGGGAATTTAAGGGGTTCAATTATTTTTACTTAGAAAATCAAACCATGTTATTTGACCGGAGGTGTTAAAACCTTTGCATACGTCTATACATATTGATCATATGATACATTTATCAGTCGCTGATAAACCAACACAAACGGCTGGCGGTTACAGTGTGATTTGGCAACGTGACAGTTTTTCCACCTAAGTTGACAAGGATCATACAAACACGCTAAAAACCTGAGCTTAGCCTGTCTGCAGAGAAATTTAGGACTGTGTTTTGTCTCGTACTGGACCTAGTCCAAGACTCTATTTGATTTTCAATGGAGTATAAGCATGAATAATGAAGTTTAGTATTTATGTCTGGAAAATCAGCCCGTTAAGTTTAATAGTCACGGTCTAATTTCTTGAAATATGGTTTTAAGTTTTTAGAAAAAATGTAGATGAAATTTACATGAAAACTCCTCAATCAACCATATCGTTGAGCCGTCCAAGTTTGAAAGTAGCAGTGAGAGAATGGAATTACACTCACAGCATTACAGCCTATCCATTTCCCTCTGGTTCGTAGAAAATATTCATTCTGAATGAGGAGCAAAGCCACTTGCTCATGAACCTGATTGGTCTTATTTTACATGTTATCTACATCTGTCAGAGGTTTAAAGGAGGTTGAAAGACAGAGCTGGCCCCTTTCACGCATTAGCCTTATCAGTGACTGAACATTTGTATGGACCACTGGAGACGGAGTGGCTTCGTAGCGCTGGAGGTTTGATGTGGCTTCCTCTGTCATTTCCTCTCGCGCTTGTTCCTCCAGAGAAGGCTAATTAAAAAGTGCAGAGGCACTGTATGTGTCGTGTGTGGTTTCTCTGCCTCGGAAGTCATCCATAAGAAGCCAGTGTGACCCTCTCTCCCTCTCCCCTTCTCTGTCTCTTTTCATAATGAACTCAATTAGGGCCTGTTGGGTTCAGCCTTTGGTCAGAATGATGTTGAAATTGGCCAATTACAGCACAGTGAGCTTAGATGTAGGGCTGTTAGGTACACCCAAGCCGCTATAGCCATACGGAGAGGTTATGAGCACACTGGCCTTTAGTTAATTGCGACGTGTCATTAGCTGGTGAAGAGAGACTGTCAGATATTTTCCATCACTATTCTGTTGAAACAAAGAGCTTTTGGAGTCCATCCCACCTCTTTTTTCAGCTTAGCCTACTCAGATTCAAGAGTTTTAATCCCAGCAATTACCATTATGGGGTTTTTAAGTTATTTATTTATTTTGCTGTCACACTTGTCAGGTAGCAGTTACAATCACATTTACAGATAGACTTACATTTAAATGTACTGTATTCAGAAAGAAAACAGGCACAGAAAACAGTAGATAGAAGATAATTCTGTCACAGCAGTAGCCTATAAACAAAAATAAACACATATAGAATAGGTATTAATGGATAAATAAAACCATTTAAAAAATATAGTTAAATAAGACAAATTAAGATAAGATTAAAAATATACTTTTTTGGATTTTTGTCAATGTTGTTTTTAAAAAGATCTTTTTTAATTTGTTTTAAAGTGAAGCTAAAAGATTTAGATTTATCGTCTACCAAAACAGAGTTTTAGTCCATAGGCGGAGCCTTATTTTAGCCATGCCCCTGCATTTTAGAGCAGGAAGTGAGACTGCACTCCTGTCCCTCATGGCCTCATGGTGAGCAGTTAGTTTGCTTTGAAGTAAATGAGTCCCAAAGTCTGAAAAAGAAATGTTACTACCAAAACACAGATTTTCTGCAATTACGTAAACTTTGTTTTAACTAAAAATATTTTACGTGTGTATAGCTGTGTTTGCTCGTCATGTACTGGCTAGCATTTTTGAGTTGCTCAAAATTAGCTAAAATTGACCAAAATAGTCACTACTGACACATTTGGTAAATTTCCGGTAGGTTATTGTTTTGGTAGTGACAAAATGGAAATGTTCAATCATTTATTTTAATAAAATTGACCTAATTAAGGTATAGAGCCTTTCAGCTCTGACCAATTCAGTAGAGTCATTATGTATTCGTATTGTTACATTACGCATTAGTGCTGCTGTTGGCTGTGTTTACATGCAAATATTTTTGCCAATCCGCCCGAATACATTCTGATTACAGATTAAGACTGAGGTGTTTGTGTTTTTAACTGCTTTAAAATTGTGTCAGACTCAGGAAAATGTCCTTCACATGTCCTTATTAAAGAAGGCCGAGAGGAAGACGTCGTGTTCTGAGACACATAAGCTGGACGTCCGTCCCACCGCCGTCTTTTAAAGATCAGAGCATAAACTTTGTCTCCTCTGCAGACCAGTTTCTGCTCCCATGATGTTGAATGTTATAAACTTTTGCTATCACGCGACACACATAATCAGAACTAGAGCTGGGTGATATGGCCAAAAATGTTATCACAATAAACAAAGTTCATATCGTTCGATATCGATACATACCGCGATAAATGTCAAATCATTATTTCTTTCAAGTTTGAAGGCTGATTTTTGGTCCTGGGGGGTTAATTCCTGTTTTAAACTATTCTTTATGGTCGGAACACAACAAACACTCACCAAACAGTGGAACATTTCACTAATCTGTCATGGGAGAGTGGGAGAGAGTGTCTGGTGAGCTGTTTTTACCAGCTGGAAAAGCATGGCTATTTTGTAATAGTCATAATTTAAGAAAGAAAACAGATTATTTTAGCTGGTGACGAGCGCTCGGCTACCCCGCTACAAATGACATCACAGTATTCAGACACCAGCTAGACGACTGGATTTCTCTATACTATCATAGTAGTTTAAGGGGTGAACCGCAAAATATCAACACCAGACAAACGGAGTCCTCCTTTTAGGTGTGTTTAAACTGAAAGCGGTGCTTTTGTGTTGTGTTTGATCTACAGTATCATCAATTCCCTGTGTTGTGGAGTGACGGAGCGCTGCTTCAAGTTAGCCAGCTGCTAAAAACAGCTAGCCTGGAAAGCTAGCGCTCTCCCGCTCTCCACTGCCTCACAGCTTCCTCAGTTTACTTTCGTTTAAATCAGGGCTGTAATTTACATGAACCCACTTCTTTCTTTCACTTTCATTGCTTGGGAATGCACTAATACTAAAATATGACTGTCCGAGCTCTGTAACAGCGCTGTAGTTGTGAGGATTGTGATTTAACGCCACCAAAGCTGGTTAGGATGTACAGAAAGAGGTGAGTTCGCTGTAGGTCAGTACAGTTACACCACTGACCTCGTTACTCACACTCGGTCACAGGAGAACAGATCGCCTGTCGCTCCACTCGAACAGGGAATTTATAACTCCGCGTTTCAGCCGTTGCTAAAGACTCCTCTTACTCGTGGCCCCCTCCCTCTCTAATCATGTAGAAAAACTCAGAAGTGCGCCCTCTCCTGGCGACAACAGAGTAGTGTCACTTTCCTTGCAGTAGAAAACGCCACCAAGGCTTTCGCTGAAGGTGGGAGTGTGAGAATGGAGTATTATATTGAACATTTATCGAACATGTCGTATCGCTCTATCGAGGAAAAGTTATATCGCGATAATTATCGTTATCGTTTTAACGCCCAGCCCCAATCAGAACATACTTAAACTTTCCAAAAGGGAGGGTAATCAGATACGGGCGTTTACATGGTTATTTACAGGATTACCCAGCAAAGGAAATTTTTGTTACTTTTATTTTTTCATTTTTTGGCTGCATCCACATTTAATTGCATTGTGTTTGGAATGTAATGGTCTTTCAATGAAGTGCTTTAATTAAAAGCAGCTCATTTTAAAAGAAATATGAAATCAGTGTTGGTATTAAATAGTACTTAAAGTTTCTGTATCAGTTTTTTTAATGTAGTAAGAAGTGCAAGAAGTTTGAATTCCTAAAACCCGCTCATACTTTGTCTTCACACTGTGTCTTTTTGTGCTCTTTGCCTGACAGAGTTCTTTCAGGAGCTGGACTCAGTGATGGAACCGCTGACACAACACAGCAGCATGACGGAACTGGTGCGCTACATCCGCCAAGGACTGCACTGGCTCCGGATCGAGGCCCATTTGTTATAGTGCTGGCGCTTTCACTGTGCTCTCTCACTCTCTCTCTCTCGCTCTCTCTCTCTCTCTAGCTCACTTTCTCACTCTCTTCCTCTCCATCTTGTCTTTCCTTCCATCACTCCCTCCTTCCACCGGTATCGCCACCAGCACTGCCATCTCCGAGCCACCGGGACCCGGACAGAGGTTCAGATGTTCGTCCTGCAAAACTTCTGAACTGTGTGTTTGTCCCAGCGGCCCATGATCATCAGCTTTTACAGAATAGGGAACGGTAGCACATATGGAACGTAAGGTGCTCTCGTTTTGGGGAACACTAGAAGTCGGCACTATAAGAGCAGACTTGGGCATGTGCACTCTTAAAAATGAAGGTGCCAGAAACCTTGAACCTTGAATGAATGGTTCTTTAACCTCTTAAGTCTGGTGTGAATAATCAGGCTTAAGAGTTTAATCTGCTCTTGTCAAAGATTTTTCAGTTCTGCTTTTGCATTTATTTTGATTTGTGAAGAACATAATCTAACAAAAGAAATTTCTGAAAATTCAGAAATTTTTGCTCAGTTTGTGTCACAAACCACTTTTTGAATAACATGACACTTGTGTTACACTGATTAACAAATCAATTAGTGTGTTTACATGCACACGATAATCCGATCATAATCGGATTTCTGCAGTTATCTGATTATTCAATGGTCATGTAAACACCATACTCCAATCTAGAAACTCGATCTAGAAATCCGATTAAAAAATCCGATAAAGAGAGCTGCATTTTAGCTCAGTAATCAGATTTCTCAGTGCATGTGAACTCTTACTCTGATTTCTTTCAGATTTCTCAGTCTGCACATGCGTGAAACAGATGGCGGTACCAGAAATGAGCAAGCAGCGTTGCCACGTTGACGAAATGAGGGATTTAATTATTCTTTATTTTCTAGATGATATGTGTTCATATTTCCAGGTAAAGTGGCACGGTGTTTTTAAAAACCCGCGGCATGAAGTTTAAGTATACATTACATTTACGTCACGTCCTCTTCTGTCAGTTTATTGGCCGGTTGTTAAATGCACTGATCAGATTACTGTCAAAATCTGATTTTCAGCAGTTATCGGAATATTAAGTGCATGTAAACGCATTCGATAATAAGTGCTCACCAATCTGAATTTCACTCTGAAAAACTCACTGAGCTTGATTAAATGATGCTAAGGTTGCCAGTCGGGACACGTGACATAACTCCTCTGGCAGCAGAATGAAAGAAGCAACTGTCTCTTTTATCAGGTTCAAGGGGTCAAAAAAATGCATTTGAACCCTGAGTTGAAAGGTTCTTTAGGGAAATTTATGGAATTGCTCTAAAGAACCCCTTTTTGGCACCTTTATTTTTGAGTGTATTGAGATGATAAAGCAGCATTAGTGGAATCCTGGCTGTGGATAACAAGAATCGGCAATGTTAAAAAAGAACATGCATCTTTCCACAGCCATTACAGCAAAATGGGTTTTGCTGCAGTACTACAATAGGTTAGATGATTAGTTTGGGCTGAGATGGGTCGACAGAATCTCTGTTTAAAAACCAGACAAAGTCTGATTTCTTCTTTTGTTATGTACAGTGCAGATTGTTTGCTATAAAGCAACAACCATCTCATTCTGGAGGAGGTTTACACAGGTGCCCAGCATGTAATCCTTCTCCGTGTCAGTATTGTTTCTTTGTATTGCATCTCTTGATGGCTTCATAATATCTGTCTTGAGGGATTTGTGGTCAAAGGCGTAGCAAAAAACACCAGTCAGATGAGATCCATCCCTCAAATAGCCCTGTTCCTGCACTCTACAGTGCCATAATAACTATCGATATGTAACACTCATGTTGGCTTTCTTCCAAAGCTGAATTCCTTATGGGGACCACATGTCTTAAATTTGCCACAAACTGTTTTGACGGAAGACTCCCTGTGCAATTGACCGAGTACATATGCACATATGACAGAGCATTGTCTCCGTGGCTCGATGGCTCTTTTGATCTTTCCAATATGTACCATACTGACTGTGTTCTATATGGCAACTCTTTTACTATTTGATGTTTGTTCAACTCTTGCATGTTCACGGAGAGTGTTCTAGATAGTTTCCGAGGAAGTCCGTCATCAGTCATGATTATCCAAGTTTTATGAAGTGTTCTGTGCTGTGTTTTTCTCTTTTGTTTTGCTTTCTCTGGGAAAAGAGGGGGTGGGGGATTTCAGCATCTTTGTTGTATGCAATGTTAAGTTGTTATCTATAAAGAGTTTAGCGCCAGCTGTAAGTCAGGTACTCCCACAAGCGCTCCCGAACAAGCCGATTCGACCTGTAGAGGATATTGTGGCCTAATGACATTCTGAATGAACGTCTTTCAGCTGTTTAGCAGTTTGTGAACTCTTTATCGATGGTACCTTAATGTTGATTATCAATAGTACACTGTTACGTCCACTGTCAGTGAGATTCGCGCCACTTCTCCATTGCTGTTCTGTTTCGTTCCGTCAGCGTAGGTGCATGAGAACGTCTCGGCGGAGGATTGCGGGCCAGATTCTCAGTGGCGAGTGTCGTTTCCATTGATTACACCGCACAGCTCGTAGGTTTCAGTTCTGTACCATCTTCGAGAGCCTGAATGTGAGTGAGAGAGAGAGTATATGTGTGTGAAATGTGAATTTCACCAAGATTATACAAAAGTGCCTGCGTATGCAATGAGAATTTATTAGAGTCTATATTTAAGAACAAGAATGAATCTAAGTGATTTTTCCATACCATATTGGTATATTCGATTTTGTTCTTTTCGTACAACCACGATTATTTATTTGTGTACTTTATACTGGCAACAGTGATACCTGTTTTGGCTTTAACGTTTCAGATGTACAATAAGGACATTTCGAATTCCTTTTCTGCTCTGATGACGATAGAAAATGACTCGTACATAGCTAAATTAGGGGCAGTCGTGTCGAAATCTGACTGCTGTACATCCGCCAGTTTCTGAATGGAAATGTACTCGGATGCGGTGGATAGTCTCCTAACCGGAAGATAAAGCTGCGTCAAGAAATAATAGTTGAATCACAAGACAGCCATAAATTCTGAATATGTAGTTCAATATTTCTTAAACGAGCTTCTCTAGAATTTCTAGAATCTACACAGGAAGATTACTAGTGTTCAATCAGCACCTATGTACATTTAAGGTGAGTGTAAATAAACGTTGTACAGTCAGTCGAGAGCCGTTTAACGGTGAAGGTGTTCATTTAACCCGGGTGATTTTACTGTGTATCTTTATGCAGTGCTCTACGTCGCTGACATTCAAACAGTATGCTGATCGATCAATACATTTTTATCATAGTGCAATAGCTGTTGGACACAGTAATCCGCAAAGTGCGAATAGCAATATGAATATAGTTGATTAATCATTCATGTAATCTCAAATAGTCAATAAAGCTACTTTTGCAGGTATATTTAGCAATGTTTTTTCTCCATTGTCAACAGAAAGCACTCAAACTCTCCCATATTTCCCGGTCGTCAAGGCGAGCCTTGCACGTTTTCCGTATGCAAATAATCAAATTCCCTTCTTCAGTCCAAAGTTACCAACTGTCGCCTCTTTTGTTGGGTGGTGGGTTTGTAAAATTGTAAGTGGCTCGTGCCACAGCTGTTCCTGCGCTTGTTTGTGTCATGCCAGTCTGTCAAAGAAATCTGGGCCCCTCTGGCAGCTAATCAACAACAAGCAGCGCTGGCTTCTTCCAGCAGCGGCATCATCAGCCTGCTGCGCGTAGACCTGCTCCAACATTACCACACACTTCTAACGTCCCCGCGTCGTCCCGAGAACAAATACCGCATTTCAGATCAACGTGAACATGGTTTAGTCGTAATCTCTCCTCACTATGATTTATTAATAGTAAGAATTATTTTTAAAAATCATTTGTAAAAAGCCAATACGTTAGCTGCTCTGATATATTTTAAAACTTACTGTTACAGACAGGTTATTACAATGTAATATCATGGTACAGTTCTATAACATATCGTCACTGTCATAACAAAACCAACTCTCTGACTTTTCACAAAAAAGGAAAAAGTGCAAGTAAAATAATGCAAAGTAAAATGAATTTTGGCCATTTCTATTGGTCCATTGATCATGAAATATTCAGACAATAGTTCATAAAGGGCAGCAGATATTATCAAATGGTGTAAAAATGTTTTAGAGGATTTTGATATGCAGTATGCGACAGCGATATGTTTATCAAAGTTACATAGTTTGCATAGATGACATTTTTAAAATTGACGTATTTAATTTAGGAACACATAATATTAAGTGAGAATATAACCAATAGTTTTCAACTCTGAATGCAGTAATTACAGTGTTCTACATTTTTAACAGATATTATGTACATTCGTATTATAATAACATACAGTGCTGTGCAAAAGTCTTTGATTTATTTACTTTCCTGTTAAAACAGCCGTTAAGTTGTTCATTTTTCACCGTGAGAAAAAAGGAAACATTACAGAAAATTACACAAAAGCCTCAACAACTATATGTAATTTCAGTTTTTACAGGATTTACTTTGTCCACTCTTTGCCTTTGTTACAGCTTCCTTTTTGTAGATTCAAATCTGCAGGAATATTTCTCCACACCTTCAAAGTTCAGTCTGGTTGCATTTTCTTTATTTCACGAGACTCATGGAGTTTCTTCTCACAGTGGAAGGATGGACAGAAACACCTGTGGATGTTTTCAGATCTGAAGCAGCTTGATTTTCTCCTCTCTCACAGATGAAAGCTTTAAGAGCTGTTTATCTGATGGGGACAGTTTTGGTGGTCTACCAGGTCTTCCAGGTGGTTGTTAGGAGCCGCATTTTCACTGAATCTTTTAATAATTTTTTCCAGTTTTGGAAACAGCTTTGGCTTGCTTGATACCTAATCTCAGAAATATCTCCATTAGCCATTTCAGATGCACATGAGAAAGAAATTTGCGAGACAGTTAAGGTGAGGATAGCTTTTTTGGGAGGACGCAACTGTAACTGGTTGGTTTTAAGATAAGAAGGAGTTAAAAGAGTGGACAAATAAATTAGAAGGAGTTAAAAGAGTGGACAAATAAATATTGACAGATTTGATATTATACTTATATTATTGGAGAGTTTTAATGGTCGTTTTGACTGGAACTTGTATAAACGAGAAGGTGGTCTATGACATTTGCACAGTACTGTACATTTTCCTGAATTTGAATATTTATCTTCGGGTAACATGCAAATTGAATGGCCGCTCTAATTATAATATTAGAGAGAAGATCTACAAAGTCTATAGGAAAACGTCATGACTGAAGTTCTGTATGATATGAAGGGATTTGTTCCAAAACACGTTATAGACCACTTTCATAAATTGTATCTTTTTCATGACATACATGACATGTTGGGAGTTGGCTTTACAAGAAACATCAGTTCTATATTATGATTAGTGCCACCTTTATCAGAGAAATAAATATGTTTTACATTATACGGCAGCTTTTCAAATACTCATCATATGGATGTACAGCATTTTAGAACGAAACTCCTCATATACTGACCAAATAAGAGGGAAAAAATCATATATTCATATCAAAGATATGTTTCATAGCATATTTCTGGATCAGTGTGACCTTGTATGCCACAGCTTTGTTAATATTCTGTAGATAC